CTGGATCACTGCATTTGGCCACGAATGTGGTAGCCTCTGAAAAAGAGAGACAAGCTCCTATTCTTTGATGGTTGCTCTCTAGAGGTTGGCTTCTCACTCATAGCAAAGTCTAGGACCCTGGGGTGGCCACCACTGTTAAGAATTTTAGCAATGAGAAATTATAAGAGACTATATACACAATAAAGGAGTGGGGAAGACTTTCATCATAAAGATAGGAAATCCAGAAACTATAAAGGCTATAAAAAGAAATTTAGCAGTGCAGAGGCTTTAGTGGAAAAATCCCTGCATTGGGTGTCAGGAGTCTGGGTTTTAGTGGCTTGGATCTGCTGGTCTGGCTGTGTGGCTCTGGGGGACATGTTTAACCTCTCTGGACTTCATATTCTTCCCCTGCAAAGATGAAGAATTGGGACACAATTGCCTCTAAATGCTGTCCAGTTCTAAATTCTAAACTTATGATTCATTGCATGTTTTCTCTTTGCCAGCCCCTGTGCTAGATAAGAATATAAAGATGAAATTAGCAATAAAAGTTAATATATATTGAGTGTTTAATTATGTGACACAGATTGTATTAACCACTCTACATAATGTTTTCTTCAGTTCTCAGAACGTCCCTGTAAGATCATGTCTGTCATTAGTATTACTGGCCTTGTGAAAGGACCATTTCTTGGTCTCCCTCCTGCTCCCCTAGATTGGGCCTGTGCTATCTTGACTGACCTGGGGAGCAGTGATGGGAGAGAACCATTCCAGGTGCTCTGCCAGGAACAGTTCTGCTGTAGCAGCCACTAGGCTGTTGTTGGCTGTTAGATAGAGGTGACTTAAGACATATAAATAGAGATAGATTTTTGACTTTTTTCTTTAAAAAACTATTTTTTAAAAAGTTTATATATATATTTTTAAATGTTTTATTTATTTCTAGGAGAGAGAGAGAGACAGCATGAGCAAGGGGAGGGTCAGAGAGAGAGGGAGTCACAGACTCTGAAACAGGCTCCAGGCTCTGAGCTGGCAGTCAGCACAGATCCCGATGCGGGGCTCGAACCCATGAACCACGAGATCATGACCCAAGCGAAAGTCAGACGCTTAACCGACTAAGCCACCCAGAGCCCCAAAAGTTTATATTTTTGAGAGAGAGAGAGCACATGCACATGCAAGCACACACACCTGTGAGTGGGGGAGGGGCAGAAAGAGAGAGAGGCAGGATCCCAAGCAGGCTCCATGTTGACAGCAGAGATGCTGATGTGGGGCTCGAACTTAAGAATTGTGAGATCATGACTCAAGCTGAAGTCAGACATTAAACCTACTGAGCCACCCAGGCACCGCTTAAAAAATCTATTTCTACCAAATAGCAAGACTTGTTATAAATCTCCAATAATTAAGACATGTGGTATTGGCTCAAGGATAGACAAATAGCCCAACAGAACAGAATAAAGAGTACAGACTGATCCGTATATCTGTGGGCACTTATATGACAAAAGTGACACTACCATCCAATGGTGCTAAGTCAACTGGACTAGATGACTGTGTGAAAAAAAATTACTCTTGACTCCTACTTCACACAATGCACAAAAATCACTTAAAAATGGATTGTAGATCTAAATATAAATATTAAAATAACCCACTACTAGAAGATGACATATCTTCATGATCTTAAGATAGAGATTTCTTAAACAGAACACACAAATCACTATAACCGTAAAAGAAGAATGGGTAAATTGAATTACATGAAAATTAAGAACTTCTACTCATCAAGATGCACTATTAAAATATGAAGAGGGGAGCTATAGGGAGGGAGAAGATATTTGCAGCATGTATATTTAACAAAAGATCATATCTAGAATATAGAAAGAATCTATAAATCAGTAAGAGAAAGCCAGACAACCCAATCTAAACAATGGGCAAAATACTTCAATAGGCACATTATAAAAGAGAATATCCAAATGGAAAGGTGCTCAAGCTCAACAGACTTAAAGGAACTGCAAGTTAAAACCCTAATTCATCACCACTCCATATCAACCAGAATGGCTAAAGCAAACCAGAAAACTCAACTACATTAAGTTTTGTGTTGGTAAGAATGTAGATCAATTAGAACTCTCATTCATTCTGGTGGGAGAATAAGTTGAAAACATCTTTGTAAAACTATTTGAGAGTATTTATTAAAGGTGAGCATATGCATACTTTATTATTCAGTAGTTCAGGTTCTAGGTATGTCCCCAACAAAAATGCATACATGTATTCATTGAAAGATACGTACAAGAACACGGGTAGCAGTACTATTCATTATGAGCACATGTTAGAAACAACCCAAATTTCCATCAACTGTTAAAAGGATAAATAAGTTGTTGCATATTCATACAATAGACTACTAGAGCAATGAGAAGGAAAGAACTGCTGTTTCACCAAATACATGATGACTCTTACAAATATAATAAATGAAAAAGGCAGACATAAAAGGTAACATAGTGTATCGTTCCATTTGTATGAATTTCAAGAACAGGCAAAATCACTCTATGGTTTTAGAAGTAGGAGTAGTGGTCATTAATTTGAGGGGCGGGAGCTTTTGGGGTGCTGGTAGTGGTCCATTCCTTATTCAGGATACTGATTATACAGATATTTTCACTTTGTGAAAATTCATTGAGTTCTGTAATTATTTATGCATTGTTTTCAGTATGTGTACTTAAAAATGTTTTTAATGTTTTATTCATTTTTGAGAGAGAGAGAGAGAGCATGAGCAGGGGAAGGGCAGAGAGAGAGGGAGACATAGAACCCAAAGCAGGCTCCAGGCTCTGAGCTGCTGTCAGCACAGAGCTCAATGTGGGGCTTGAACTCACCAACCATAAGATCATGACCTGAGCTGAATGAAGTTGGATGCTTAACTGACTAGCCGCCCTGGTGCCCTTTCAGTATGCATATAATATTGCAATAAAACTTTTACTAAAAAGTTTATTTTAAAACATAGTAGAGTTTAAGATTCTAGTTTTGAACTGACAAAAGATTAACGTTGTTAAAACTTCAAAAAATATAGAAGGGAGATAGATAAAAAAGTCTCCTTCCCACCCCAAGCCCAAGCTATCCAGTTCCCTCAGAGGCAGCGAATGATATTAGTATTTTTGTGCATCCTTCTAGACATATTTAAAAAAATTTTTTTAATGTTTATTTATTTCTGAGAGAGAGAGAGTATGTGTGAACAAGGGAGGGTCAGAGAGAGAGGGAGACACAGAATCCAAAACAGGCTCCAGGCTCTGAGCTAGCTGTCAGCACAGAGCCCGATGCGGGGCTCGAATCCATTAACCGTGAGATCATGACCTGAGCTGAAGTTGGACGCTTAACTGACTGAGCCACCCAGGCACCCCCCAGACATATTTATCTATTTATTAAAAAAATTTTTTTAATGTTTTATTTATTTCTGAGAGAGAGAGAGAGAGAGAGAGACAGCGTGAGCAGGGGAGGGTCAGAGAGAGAGGGAGATACAGAATCTGAAACAGGCTCCAGGCTCTGAACTCGCTGTCAGCACAGAGCCCGATGCGGGACTCGAACCCACAAACGGTGAGATCAAGACCTGAGCGGAAGTCGGACACTTAACCGACTGAGCCACCCAGGCACCCCAGACATATTTTTTAAATATATGGCAAATGAAATATGTATGTAATTACACACACACACACATCCTTTTTTTATGTGTATGGTAATATACTGAGCATGTTATTCTACAGTTTGCTTTTATCATTTATTTTAAAGACTTTTCCACATAGCACATAAATTTCTATCCCTTCTTAAAGCTGCATAATGTATACTATTGTATGAATGTTCCATGATTTATTTAACAAGTCCTCCCGCCGTTGATGAACATTTAGGTTAGGTTATTTCCAGTTGAGAAGCTTTCTTGATCCTGATGTATGTTGGGTTAAATATCTATTTTCCCAGGCCTCATTTTAACTTTTTACCACAGCCTGTACAGGTTGATACGTAGTGAAGTAATATGAAAGGGTAAAGTAGAAATATGTCTCTTTCTTGGGGTGCCTGTGTGACTCAGTCAGTTAAGTGTCCGACTTCAGCTTAAGTCATGGTCTCATGGTTAGTGGGTTTGAGCCCCGCTTTGGGCTCTGTGCCGACAGCTCAGAGCCTGGATCCTGCTTGGATTCTGTGTCTCCCTTTCTCTGTGCCCTCCCCTCCCCCACTCACACTCTGTCTCTGTCTCTCAAAAAGGAATAAATGTTAAAAATTTTGAAAATTTAAAAGAAGAAATAATTTGTCTACTGCTCAGTTCTTTGAAGGAAGACTGGGGGCATCTGGGTGGCTCAGTTGGTTAAGCATCTGACTCTTGGTTTCAGCCCAGGTCATTATCTCGCAGTTCATGAGATCTAGCCCTGCATAGGGCTCTGAACTGATGGTGGAGAGCCTGCTTGGAATTCCCTCTCTCTCTCTCTCTCTCTCCCTCTCTCTCTCAAAACAAATAAATAAACTTAAAAAAAAAAAAGGAAGACTAAATGACTGCAGAAATTCAAAGCTAGGAGAGCTGGAAGAGAACTAATGTGGGGTTTCCTTGCAATTGATTTCTTTAAGATTCTGATGAAAGCTACGGATTTTTTCAGAAAAATACGCATGCATGTAAGATTTTGGGGTTGTTAGACCACTTGAAATTCCTCCATGAGTTCTAGATTAAGAATCAAAACCCCACCAATTTGAAAATTGGGAAGCTGAGGGCCCGAGATGAACGGTGGGTCTCATATCAAGTTAATTGCAGAAGATAGTCACTTGTATTTGTGTTAAAGGAATGCCAGCAATATTCCCTCTCCTTTTGTTGGCTGATGTCACAGCCCAAACTGGCAAGGGAAGCTACTCTTTCCTTTCCAAAGGAACTTCAGTGTGAAGGTGGGGTAACCTAAGAGACAAATGGCAAACAAATTTATATGAATGATTGATTTCTTTGATAACAAGATGGGATGATTAGAATTTTTTGTATAATACTTTGATTTATTTTCTTTCTCCTTTTGTTTTCGGTTCAGCCCAAGAAGAAGAGAGGAAAAATAGAAGTAAGACCCATTAATTTGGGGACAGATTATGAATATGGGGTTTTAAACATTCACCTGACTGCATACGACATGACCCTGGCAGAGAGCTACGCCCAATATGTTCACAACCTCTGCAACCATCTATCCATTAAAGTTGAGGAAAGGTATGAAGGGTGACTTTGCATGGGATATTTTTGGTATGAGTGGCAGGCTCTCTTTGTTGTTAAATGAAGTTTGAGACATAATTTACATTTAGTAAAATTCACCCTTTTTTAGGTATATAGTGTATCACAATCAGAATGTAGAACAGTTCCATTAACCCCAAAACTTCCCCAGTGCTCAGGTGTAGTCAAATCCCAACCAACAGTTGATTTTCTGTCCCTATTGTTTTAAGTTCTCCAGAACATCATGTAGATGGAATCATACAATGTATAGCTTTTTGTGTCTGTCCTCTTTCACTTAGAATAATGTTTAAGATTTATCCATGTTTTTGCAAGTATTTTATTCCTGAGTTGTTTTCCGTTAAATCTGGACCTTAATTGGCTTATCCATTCACCAATTGATGTACATTTTCATTGTTCTCTAGTTTATTGGTAATTATAAATAAAGCTGTCATAGCATTCTCATGTATGTTTTGTGGGGCATATATCTTTCCTTCTGGAGAGCTACCTAAGTCTGGGATTTGGAGATTGTATGGGGAATGTATGTTTAACTTCATAAGAAACTGTCATCTGTTTCCCAAAGTGGCTACACTATTTTGTTTTCCTACCAATAATGAATGAGAGTTACAGTAACTCCTTTTCCTGGTCAGCACTTGGTATTGCCAATTTTTTCCTAAAGATACATCTAGTAGATATATAATGGTATCTTACAGTGGTTTTAATTTTCATTTCCCTAGTAAATAATGATTTTGATATCCTTTCATGTGCTAATTTGCCTTCTGTATATCTGCTTTGATGACTATCCAAATCTTTTGTCCATTTTTAAAACTGCTTTGTTTGTTCTCTTATTAAGTTATGAAAATTCTTTATCTATTTTTGGATATCAGTTCTTTTTCTTTTTTTTAGAATGTTTTATTTATTTATTATTATTATTATTTAAATGTTTTATTTATTTCTGAGAGAGAGAGACAGCTGAGCAGGGTAGGGTCAAAGAGAGAGGGAGACACAGAATCCGAAACAGGCTCCAGACTCTGAGCTGGCAGTCAGCACAGAGCCCGACCTGGGGCTGGAACCCACGAACTGTGAGATCATGACCTGAGCCAAAGTTGGACGTTTATCCGACTGAGCCACCCAGGCGCCCCATGTTTTATTTATTTTTGAGAGAGAGATGAGACAGCGTGAGCAGAGGAGGGTCAGAGAGAGAGGGAGACACAGATTCCCAAGCAGTCTCCAGGCTATGAACTAGCCATCAGCACAGAGCCTGACGGACTGCAAGATCCTGACCCAGCTGAAGTTGGACTCTTAACCGACTAAGCCACCCAGGCACCCCAGATATCAGTGCTTTTTCAATATGTGTTTTGCAAATATTTTCTCCCTGTCTGTGACTTACCGTGTCATCTTCTTAGTTGAGCCCTTTCGAAAGCCGACTTTTTTCAAGTTTGATGAAGTTCAGTTTAATAATTTTTTCTTTTACTGTTCATTCTTTTGGTGTCATATCTAAGAAAATATTGTCTAACCCAAGATCACAAAGATATTCTCCTGTGTTTTCTTCTAAAGGTTCTATATTTTCAAGTTTTACATTTAGGTCCATGATCCATTTTGAGTTATTTTTGTATATGATATGGGATATGGGTCAGAATTCTTTTTTTTTCCATATAAATAACCAGTTGTTCCAGCACCATTTGTTAAAAAGATTTTTCTAGCTTTAACAAATTGTCTTAGCACTTTTTGAAAGTCAATTAACCATCTATGTGTGGGTCTATTTCTGGACTTTCTTCTGTTACAGCAATGTATATATATCTATACTTATGCCAATACCAGACTGTCTTGATTACTGTTGCTGAATTACTGAAGCTACAACCTTGTTCTTTTTTTTTTCAAAATTATTTTGACTATTCTAGGTCATTTTTGTTTTCCATAAAATTTTTAGAATTAGTTTGTTGATTTCTACAGAAAGGAACCTGATGGAATTTTATTGGGATTGTGTTGAATCTGTAGGTCAATTTGAAGAGAATTGACATCTATTTTGATTCCTCTGATGCCTTAACAAGGCATATCTCCCCATTTATTTAAGTTTACTTCGCCTGCTCTGCTTTTCATTTACTCTTTGGATTTGTTGGAAAACTGTGGGGGAGGGGAACTAACATTTACTGGCTACCTACTCCAGGCCAGGCACTTTACATATCTTATCTCAGGGTTTCAGAAGGTGTGGGATGTCCTGTAGTTTGCTTTAAATAACACTAAATCACATGGTGAGAAATTTCTTCCCTTTTTAACTCTCATTAATCCTAATTATGTCAAGGAGAAATTCTTCCTGTGGTTCTGGTATGTCCTTTACACCACTCTAGCACTTCCTAATCTTTATAACAGAGAAAGGACCTCAGACTCCGCAATCGTATCTAACTAGAATTTTATAACATTATTTTGCTTTTGTTGTACTTTTTTTTTTTTTTTAAAGTAAGCTCTAGGCTCAGCATGGGACTTGAACTCATGATACTGAGATCAAGAGTCATGTGTACGGGAGCACCTGGGTGGTTCAGTTGGTTGAGTGTCCAACTCTTGATTTCAGCTTAGGTCATTATCTCACGATTCATGAGTTGGAGCCTCACGTGGGGCTCTGTGCTAACAGCATGAAGCCTGCTTAGGATTCTTTCTCCCCCTATCTCTGCCCTTCCCCCCACAGAATAAATAAATAAACTTTAAAAAATGTTGCATTTTCTATGGATTGAGCCAGCCAGGCACCCCCATTGTATTTTTCTTTTTAAATTTTATTGATGGCAGCCGATACTGGTCTTCCATTTACAATAGTGATGTAAAGTCAGACTTACTGAGATATAATTTACATTCAGTAAAATTCACCCATTTAGTGAACAATGTCTATGAGTTTTGACAAATGCACGCAGTATGTATTACCATCATCAAGATGTAGAACATATACATTATCCCAAGAAGTTCCCTCCCACCTTTGTAGTCATTTCCCCCCCTTACCCCAAGTCCCTCACAACTAATGATCTGTTTTCTGCCCCTATAGTTTTTTTAAAGACTTTAAAAAAATGTTTATTTTTGAGAGAGAGAGAGAGCAAGTGAGCACATGTAGGGGAGGGTCAGAGAGAGAGAGAGGGAGGCACAGAATCCAAAGCAAGCTCTAGGCTCTTAGCTGTCAACACAGAGTCCGACACAGGGCTTGAACCATGAACTGCAAGATCATGACATTAGCCAAAGTTGGATGTTTAACCTACTGAGTTATCCAGGTGCCCCTCTACCTGTATAGTTTTGCCTTTTCAAGAATGCCATATAAGTGGAATTATACAGTATTTTTCCTTTTGAGTCTAGCTTCTTTTACTTAGGATAATGTATTTGAGATTTATCTATGTTGTTGCCTGTATCAGGTAGTTTGTTCCTTTTTGTTGCTGATTACCATTTCATTGAGTGTATTTTTGTTTATGCATTCAACAGTTGAAGGACATATGTATTGTTTCCAGTTTTTGGCAGTTATAAATAAAGCCACTATAAACATGTACAGGTTTCTGTGAAAACATAAGTTTTCATTTCTCTAGGAAAGTGATTGCTGGGTTGAATGGTAAGTGCAGTAGATGTTTAAATTTATAAGAAACTGCCAAACTGTTTTCCAAAGTGGCTTTACCATTTTCTTTCACATCAGCAACTTGAATTCCAGTTCCTCTACATCTCGTTTACTTTTTTATTTTTTTTAAAGTTTGTTTATTTATTTAGTTATTTATTCAGAGAGAGAGAGAGAAATGTGAGCAGGGGAGGGGCTGAGGGAGAGAGGGAGAGAAAACCCCAAGCAGCCTCCACACTTAGCATGGAGTCAAACGCAAGGCTGTCTCATGGCTGTAAGATCATGACTTGAGCCGAAATAAAGAGTTGGATGCTTAACCCACTGAGCTACACAAGTGCCCCTCAAGTTTATTTCTTAAATTAACTTTTTAAATGAATGGATTTAAAGAAAAATATTAAGTACTCATTTGGGTGGTTTGCTGTCACGGCAAGGTAATACATGGCACAGTGTGTGGATATGGCAAAAGTTATACTTTCTCACTCATTATATAGTAGTATAGTCCCATTTTACAAATGAGGAAACCAAGGCTCAGAAAGCCCAAAAGTCACAAAACCAATAAGTGGCCTAGATTTAACTCATTTCTGCCTGACTCCAGTATTTTTAATCATACAGGTTTTATTTTAAATCCTTAAGCTAAATTTGAACTTTTAAACTTTTGTAACTTGGATTATAACTGTGCTAACCATGCTCTTCAGAAGATTGGATAATAAGCTGTGACTTTAGCTCACACAGCTAATAGTACTTCAATTGTTTTAGGCCTAAAGATGTGCTTTATCTTCTCCTGATGCCCCAGAGAGTTGGTTGCTCTTTCAGCACTTGACGCACACTTCTATCATGTCACTTAGTGCTTTGGGCTGTAATAATCTATTCATGAGTCAGCTGCCCTCCCTACTGACTAGTGGGAACTGTGTTCTTTTTTATTTCTTTAGCATCTAGCACAGGACCTGCCACATGGAGGACATTAAAGCCATTGTTGAAAGAATGACAGGTTCTTGAATGTGACTGCACAATGCAAGTGTGTCTATACATGGTATACATTTCCTAAAGTTTAATGAAAGTGTTTTTAATTAATGAATTAAAATACTGATTGAGTTTCTTCCTGCTATATGGTAGGTATTATACTAGACATCCTTACTGGAGGATCTTAAAAATTTCCCTGATTTTAGGGAGTGTGTGTGTGTGTGTGTGTGTGTGTGTGTGTGTGTACAACGTAATGTGGAAGGTGGTAAGTGAAGGATAAAATGCAATGTCAGTTCAAGGAGGCTGAACAGCAAATAATTTAGAGCAATGCTTCCTCAAAGTGCCACTCTGCAAAGATATCAGAAGCTAATGCCAAAATGTACATTAGCACTTTGCTTCCTTCATCAAGAAAGTCTCGCTATTGAAAAAAAAATGTTGGATGAATTAAATGTTGGCGTGTTTAATGACTGTTGCATGCTTCTTATCTTGTAACAGACTGATAACAAGAAGTTTGTTCAACAGCAACTTAACTTGCCTATGGACCATACTTTGAGTAACAAATGGTTAAGAGTACAGGCTCTGGAATCAAACTGCCTATGTTCAAATTTTAGTTCTACCAGTTGTTGGCAGTATGACCTTCGGAAATTCTGAACCTCATTTTCCTCATTTATATAACTGGGATGATAATTTTCTTATTCCTTTAAGTTCTGAAAATTAAATAAAGTATATAATAGCACTTAGTAGAGAGACTGGAACATTGTAAATACTCTGTAAATAATATTGTTATTAATAACTACTGAGAATTTTTTTTAGCTGGCAGAGATTAGGGGTAGCTTCTCAAAGGCTGTGGTGGCAAAGAGGCATTAAGTGTCATTTACCAAAAGTTATCATACCTACAGTGGGTCAGCTCCCTGAAACAGTGTTTTACATTTTTAGAAGGACTTTTTAAAAGGTACTGTTTTTAAAACCTGGCTGTGGAAACTCTGGCTTCTTTTGAGTAAAGGCAGGAAGGCAGTAGCATTTATTGATCACCTACTATTAGCCAACTACTCTGGCTTTTTTTGTATAATGTCGCTTAATTCAAAGAAGCACCTAACACAGAGTGAATCAAAGTATCAACTCTGTGGCCAGACTGGGTGGGTTTTACTCTGGGTACAGCATTCTTATTGTATGGCCTTGAGCAGTTTACTTAAACTCTGTATCTTGGTTTCCTCATCTGTAAAATAGAGTTAATATAAGTTCCTCCCTGAAAAGGCTCTAGTGAAAATTAAGGGATATAATATATTTAAAATGCTTATAACTGTTCCCGACAACAGTTGGCTGCTATTATTATTATTATTATTAATTATTATTAATATAATAGAAGCTTGCCTAATAAAAGGCAAGGTCTGGATTTGAATCCACGTTTTTTCCCAAATTCTCAATTCTTTGTAACTGGTTCTCCCTGCGGCTTTTAGTGTGCTCTTTCTAGAATGGAAATATGATCATATTACTACAATGCTTAAAATCCTTCTATAGCTTCCCATTCCTTTAGGGTCAAAATGAAAGTTCCTCACATGGCTTGGTAGGTGCTCTATGGCCTGGGCTTGCTTCTGTTGCCTTAACTTATATTTCCCATTCTGTCTTCCGCTCCTTCCAATTAACAGAGGCTTTTGGTTTTATCCCTTTCCACCTCAGGACCTGTGCATATGCTTGCTCTCCAAAGCTTAGCTTTCCCCTTTACCTAACTAACTCCTGCATTTTTCTTAGGCTTTGCATTGGAGGTCACTTCTTCAGAGAACCTCATTAAATTAAATCTTTATGTTACATATTTGGGAGAAGTAAAGATTATATAACTTCCTTTCATGGCCCTCATACCTTACCCTCGTAATTAATTGACTATATTATTTATTGGTCTTCCTTCTTAGACTCTAAGATCTATTAAGGCAAGGACTTTCAATCTCCATTACCAGTGTAACCTTAAGACCTTTCCCAGTACCTGCCTGATACGTAGTAAGCACTGAATAAATATTCATTGACTTGGATTGAGTTTCAATTCATGGACATGATTCCTAGAACAGCAGAATGAACAATTTGCTGCTTTTTGCTCTTTTCTAGCTCGTTGCTCCAAATAGCACAGAACATAAAGAGATGTTCATTTTCATCAACTCCCTTCTCTGCATTGATTGAGGTTTTCAGACCATTGTATTGTTAGGCATTCTTACTGCCCAGCTTTTCAGAGATGAAATGGTTTTCTTTTCTTCTGCTTTTCATTTCATCATGATCCATTTTTTCCTCTGGGAATGGTGGGGTAGGGCTCTGACCTTGAGATGGAATTGGGCAGGGGAGCAAAGTACAGGCTTTTGTTCTATAAATGTTCTGCATTGCTGCAGCTGCAACTCACCCAGGAGGGGAGAGGAAGATAGTCCTGCAGGTCTCTTATCTGCCTGTCTCCCTTGCTGAGCAGCTGCCTGGAGATGGAAATCTTATTCATCTGGGAGCAGCTTCCAAGCCTGAAGCTGATGTAGTCCCTGTGCTTTGTGGAGACTAAAAGCATCACTCAGCAACACTCTCTATAATGCCACTCTTCCTTTTTTTTTTTCTTGAAGTCCACTTATGTTGTTTAAAATTGAGGTATAATTTATATTTAGTAGAATCCACAGATTCTAAGTTCCCTAATACCCCAACAGGCTCCCTTGTATCCCATCCCAGGCAGTATTCCCCGAAGGTAGCATTATTTTGTCTTTTGATATTCAATTATTTCATTTCTTCACTTCTGCTTTTCCTGTCTGATCATCCAAGTAATGTTTATTGCAGAAAATTTGTAAAATACAGAAAAGTGTAGACACTGAAGAAAAATTACATATATTCTCAAAGGCCTATTCTACCTTGAAATGACCAGGGTTCCAGGATTTCTTTGTCAAACTATGGCTTTTCTGTTGGTTTTGAGGGCCTCGTATGCCTCCTTGCCTTTGTCAATAACTGCTTCACTTTTTTGGAATGCCTACCAGGGCAAATGACTATATGTTCATTCTTTATATCTTGATAAAATTCCACCTTACCTGTGAATCCTTCCCTGAGCTCCCTTTCTCTCTCTTGCCCCTATAATATTCAGTACATGACTGTTGTTGCCTTTGTGTTACTGTAGTGAAGATGTTTGTGTACTTACCTCTCTCTCCAAAACACTCTTAGTGAGCTCCTTTAAACTGTAGGCTGCATATTGCCCACCAGTGTGTCTAGCACAAAACAGGCTTTCAGTAAATGTTTGTTGAGTGAATGAATGAATGAACAAATCAATGGAATCTTGCAAAAGTAAGTGTTGAAGAATCAAATGCATGCTCAGTGGCAGGAATGGACAACTCCCACTTTAATCAGTCTTATCTGCAGAATGTCAGGAAAGAAAGCTAGCATTTTAGAATGCTTTTTACTTTCCTGAAAGCTTTTACAGGCTGTTTTATTTGATCTTCCATAAAAGTCTATAAATGTGTCCTAACTTTTTTATCTGGGGAAGTTATTACCAAATTTGAATTGGAAGAGGAGATCAGAGATTGTGCTAGAAAGTGGTAAGAAATGTTATTTAGGAGGTTACCTGGAAGCGTTTGCAATACCTAGCATTTACTGTTTATAAGAGCAAGGGAACTGGTATTTGTAGGCATATTATTCCAGGTAAATTACTTATATAATTTTATTTAATCATTGCAACAACTCTATGAACTAGGTATTATTACCCCCATTTTGTAGCTAAAGAATCTGAGACTCAGAAAGCTGAATTAATTTGTCCATGGCCAAATAGGTAATAAGTGGCAGGGCCAACATTTAAATCCAGGACTATCATGTCTTGTATCCACTTCCATTATTCCATTATTCACTCCATTATTCTATTATTCCATTATTCATTGTAGAGGGCCATGCCCTTTACTATCAAGTGATGAAACTGTGTGTGGCATGAAAATTCAGGCATTCTGCTGTTACAGTTATTTCATTTATCTTCATTTTGATGAAGTTTTTGACAAGATGAACATAGCACTAATACCATATTTGTATGTAGCCATCAATCCTATTTCATCATACACCTGATCTTTACACGTCTATTAACATAGACCTAGATTGTAATCCCCTTTATTGTGGAATAAACTGATGCCAAGAGAGACAAGTAACTTGCCTTAATAAACTTAGTGAATAGGGGCGCCTGGGTGGCTTAGTCGGTTAAGCGTCCGACTTTCGCTTAGGTCATGATCTCGCAGTTCATGGGTTCGAGCCCCACGTCGGGCTCTGTGCTGACTGCCAGCTCAGAGCCAGGAGCCTGTGACTCCCTCTCTCTCTGACCCTCCCCTGCTCATGCTGTCTCTCTCTCTCTCTCCTAGAAATAAATAAAACATTAAAACATTAAAAAATAAATAAATAAATAAACTTAGTGAATAAGCCACAGGGTCAAGAATTGACCCTAAATCCAGTGTTCTTTTCACTGCAGCATGTAGATCTGCTGAAGCTAATTATAGCAAGCATAGTGTTTACAACAATATTTCTCAAGTTGGGGACATTTAATAATGTTTGGAGATAATTTTTATTGTCACCATTTCAGGGGGTACTGTTAGCATCTTGTGGGTAGAAATTAGGGATACATAGGCCAGTCCCCCTCACAACAAAGAATTATTTGGTCTAAAATGTCAATAGTGCTGAGGTTGAGAAATCTTGCTCTTTTAAAACAGTTGGGTTTCATGCCTCATTTCTCCAGAAGAGATGAAATACCCAAGGTTAGCCTCCAAAGTGATGAGACTGATTCTTTTAGAATTGGCTTTTCTTGAGTAGCAGCAAATAGTTATTAATCACCGGATTTTATTCAGTGTTCTATCAGGCAAGAACTAGGGCTGCAGAAAGACATTACACATGGTCTGTTCACTCAGGGAGTTTAGAAGCTTCTGGAGGAGATTGAAGAGGATCTGGTTGCTTTACCCTGGTTGCAGATAAACAGCCCTAGATTCTAGGAGCCACCGTATTGCAGCAGCGGCTGTACTCGGGGACCACCCTGATGCACGTGATGCTGCTGACTTAAGGGAACCCTCCTCATGGCTGACTCTTCTTTCCCACAGTTATGCGATGCCCACCAAAACCATGGAGGTATTGCGGCTGCAAGACCAAGGCAGCAAAATGTTCCTGGACTCAGTTCTTACCACCCATGAGCGAGTGGTTCAGGTAGGCAATCTGGGAGACACTTGAAATGTATTTGCCTTTCCTGGTTCTTCTATTTTTTTCCCCTCCTACTGTGCCCTTCTCTTCCTCTTGAAATGATGACCCTCTGCCCCTTGAAATAATGATGTTCTCCAGGGTTTAGTTCTTGATCCTTCCATCTCTCCTTATATAATTCCTTCCCTTTATGCAATCTCATTCATTCCCCAACCTCAGCGACCTTTATTATATACTGACAACCCCCTGACATGTATCTCCCAGTCCTAATGGGTTATATACTGATAACACCTAGATATACATCTCCAGTCCTGATCTCTCAGTTGAGCTTCAAACCTGATACCCACTTGTTTACTGTACTTCTCCACTGGGATATTCCACAGGTGTCCTACACTCAGCGTATATAAAACTAATTGTAGAGGAACTGATGTTTTTCTTTTTAAAGTTTTTTTTTTAGGGGTGCTGGATGGCTCAGTTGGTTGAGCCTCTGACTTTGGCTCAGGTCATGATCACATGGTTTGGGAGTTTGAGTCCTATATTGGGCTCTGTGCCTGGAGCCTGCTTTGGATTCTGTGTCTCTCTCTCTCTCTACCCCTCCCCTGCTCACGCTCTCTCTCAAAAATAAACATTAAAATTTTTTTAAAGTTTATTTTTTAAAATTTACTTTGAGAGAGAGAGAGAGAGAGGGAGAGAGGGAATTCCAAACAGGCTCCCTGCTGTCAATGCAGTACCTGACGTGTGGGGCTTGATCTCACAAACAGTGACATCATGATCTGAGCCGAAATCAAGAGTTTGGAGGCTTAACTGACTGGTGCCCCATAACAGCTTCATTGAGAGTTTTATATATATACAATTTACCCATTTAAAGCGTACAATTAAATGAGTTTTAGTATATTCACAGTTATGTAACCATCACCACAATTTTAGAACATTTCATTACCATGAAAGGAAACTACCCATTTGCAGTCATTCCTCTTTCCCTGCTCCCCCCCCACCCCTCCCAGCTCCTGACAACCAGAAATCTGTTTCTGCCTTTATGGTTTTACCTCTTCTGGACATTTCATTTACATGGAATTATATAATATATGGCCTTTTCTGTCTGGTTTCTTCCACTTAGCATGTTTCCAAAGTTCATCCATGTTGTAGCAGGTATCACTGCTTCATTCCTTTTTATTGCCAAATAATATTCCAGTGTATGGACATCACCTCTTTCTGATCCACTCAAGAAGTATATCGACAAGTTGTATATATCCTATAATGAACAGAATGTTAAGGTAGTGACACCTTAAATCTATTATGCTAACTTTATTTTTTAATATTTTATTTATTTCTGAGAGAGAGAGAGAGCATGAGCAGGGGAGGGTCAGAGAGAGAGGGAGACACAGAATCAGAAGCAGGCTCCAGGCTCTGAGCTAGCTGTCAGCACAGAGCCTGATACGGGGCTTGAACCCATGATCCATGGGACCATGACCTGAGCTGAAGTTGGATGTCGAATCAACTGAGCCACCCAGGCACCCCTATTATGCTAACTTTAAAAACAATTAAGCATGTAACAGTCTTTAATTCTTTAAATATTATCAGGAATAAATTATTTGAGATACAGATTTTAAGAAAGGTCTAACTTGCCACCAAGGCCCATAGGATGAAGTTTGAACTCTTTAGTGCCTTAAATACCTTTATGATTCTCTTCCTGCTTTTCCTCTTCTCCCCCCATTCATTCCAGCCATACATGGAACTAGTTTTAATTCCCTGGTACTGTGCGATGCAGCCACACTTTACTGAATATTGTTTCTTCTGCTTTGAAAACCCTCCACATTACTGCTGAATTCTCCTAGTTTACCCCTGTTTTTCTTCAAGACTCCACCTAGAAGTTACCTTTTTTTGGAAGCTGTCTTTGACCTCCTTAAGTTAGTAGATATTTCTCTTGTGGGTTCCTTCAGCCCCCTGCTTGCCCTTCTACTACACATCTGATTCACCTCTGTATTCTCCACACAGGGTCTAACACCAGTCCAGTCTATGTGAGTAAACCTGAGTTGAATCAGAAAGTCATCCTGGACTTGATAACCTCTTGGTCCACTTATGACATCCGTTGTTTACAGGAGCAGATACTGGCCATGACTACTATGTCGGCAAGCAGACACTTTGATGGCAAGAGAAATCCTGTAGAGGCTGGCTCTGAAAGTGGCTCTGAGTGTTAATCCTCTACCCAAGGGCCCTGTAGCTCTGCTGAAGCTGACATCTGAGCCCATGCCATGTCTGCCCAATCACCTGGCTTTCAGTGCCCTCTCTTAGAGCATCTTCTTTCCTTTTGCAGATCAGCGGTTTGAGTGCTACATTTGCAGAGATTTTCTTGGAAATAATCCAAAGCAATCTTCCTGAAGGAGTCAAACTGTCAGTGAAGGAGGTAGGTGCTAGTTTGAGAAGAGGCTCCCTGGTGGCCCAGCTGTGTTCAATATGGATAAGAGCATCTGGCTTTAGAAACGAGAGAAATGTGGATAACTTAGCCCAGAGAATAAACAGGACAGGTTTACAGACTGGTATTACTGTGGTCATTATCCTGCCTCTTCCAGTGGATCAAGGATGATGCTTTATGGACCACAGGAGCCAAACTCCATCACAGTATCCTGGTGTGAGGAGTGAGCTTGTAGTTGTGTGCAGAAATAACATGCTTTAAGATTACATATAGTCTAATTAATCAGAACACAAATAAGGAAATGTACTTTAAAGAGGAGTTTCCTGTACCTTCAAGGCTTGACTGTAGCCCGACTAAAAAAAGAATGCCAATCAGAAGGAAATTTAGCCTGCAAAACTTAGAAGACATTAGGGACTTCAGCCTAAATACTGAGTATTTGGCTCCATATGCCAAGACAAACCTTGTTATACATCAGGTCATTTTAGACTACATGCAGCTCTCCTTGTTTTGAGTCCATGCTTGTTAATCCTCTTCTTATTATTCAGGTTTCACACAGATCTATATACAGGAGAACATGTGCTGGTCATGCTGACTTAAATATTCCAGTCCTTATGTCTGTTATTTCCTATTGTAGATGGAGAATTTGGGCATTCTCTCTCTTTAAGTGCTTCTAATGAGATACTCATAGCATTTTAACATTAATTCTTTATACGTCTGTCTTCTCTCACCAGACTATAAGTTCATTTAAGGCAGGAAAGAAGTCTGATTCAACTTAGAATCCCTGGTACCTAATACAAGTCTGGTATATAGTAGATACTCAATAAAAGTTGAATCTGGGGGCGCCTGGGTGGCTTAGTCGGTTAAGTGTCTGACTTTCGCTTAGGTCATGATCTCACGGTTCGTGGGTTCGAGCCCCGCGTTGGGCTTTGTGCTGACTGCCAGCTCAGAGCCTGGAGCCTGTTTCAGTCTGTGACTCCCTCTCTCTCTGACCCTCCCCTGTTCATGTTGTCTCTCTCTCTGTCTCTCCTAGAAATAAATAAAACATTTAAAAAAAAAAAAAGTTGAATCTGAATCATTCTCTATAGAACTGTCTGATGGATTTTTTTAAATGCATATTTATTTATTTTTGAAAGAGAGAGCGAGTGTGCAAGCAGGGGAGAGGGACAGAAGGAGTGGCAGAGAATCCCAGGTAGGCTCCATGCTCATCACAGAGCCTGATGCAGGGCTTAATCCCACAAACTGTGAGATCATGACCTGAACCAAATCGAGAGTCAGATGCTTAACCGAGTGAGCCACCCAGATGCCCCATTTTTTTTTTATGCTGTGCAAGTATGAATAACTGAAATCTCTGTAGTAATTCCCACTTACTTTCTTTTTCTTCTCCCCAGCACACTGAAGAAGACTTTAAGGGAAGGTTTAAAGCTCGGCCAGAACTGGAAGAACTGTTGGCCAAGTTGAACTAGCTCATTATAGACCCTTTCAAGCCAGGACTGGTGATATTGAGTGCCAAGGGGAAGAGCTTCGTGGGTGGTCAAAATTAAGAAGACCCTTTAGATATCATAACTACCCATCCTCATTACCCAGGAATGTCTCCTCTCTTATATGGAGGAGTGTTGCCAGTTTCCACTTTCCTTTGAGCCAACCTAAGGCATCCTCAATCTAATAAAAATCTGTAGCTAAGGGACATGTGTGTATGTAAGAAGTCAGTCCATCCTGTGGAGTATCTTTTATTTTTTTATTTTAAGATTTTATTTTTAAGTAATCTAGGCCCCTACACCCAGTGTGGGGCTTAAAGTCACAACCCCAAGATCAAGAGTCATATGCTCCATCAACTGAGCCAGCCAGGTGCCCTGGGGGTATCTTTAAGGGATTCTATTTTCTCTTTAGCTCAGAACCATGTTTTCCTTCAATATTTCTCCAGTTAGAGTGATCTTATCCTTTAAATCAATCTGGCATTGAGTCTTTTAGTGAAACAGAGGATCATAACATAAGTAAACTTGGGTAGAAGGAATAGGGACAGGGCTCTTGGGGTTTTTTTTTGTTTTTGTTTTTGTTTTTATGAAAACAACGACAACTCTCCAGATAGAATAAGGGTCTGTCCATAGTGAAAAAAATTGCTTTGTGGGGCAGTAATTGATTTGTCATATTCAGGCAGATGTTACATAACTGCTAATTAGGGTTACCTGGAATGTGTTTTAAAATTAAAGTTGATCTCGGTCAGGGGTCAGAAAGCTACTGCTTGTGAGCCAAGTCCCACTGCCTGCTTGCTTGTTTGTGTGTTTTAATATTTATTTATTTATTTAGAGAGCATGAATAGGGTAGAGGCAGAGAGAGAGGGAGAGAGGGAATCCCAAGCAGGCTCTGTGCTGTGAGTGCAGAGTCTGATGCAAGGGCTCAGTCTCATGAACTGTGAGATCATGGCTTGAGCCAAAATCAAGAGTTGAATGCTTAACTGCCTGAGCCACCCAGGTGCCCTATGTTTATTTATTTTTTAAGTAATTTATTGAGGTGAAATTCACAAACCAAAAATTAACCATTTTATTTTATTGTATCTTTTAATTTTTAAAAATGTTTTATTTATTTTTGAGAGAGAGATAGAGACAGCGTGAGTAGGGGAGGGTCAGAGAGAGAGGGAGACACAGAATCCAAAGACAGGCTCTAGGCTCTGAGCTAGCTGTCAGCACAGAGCCCAACGTGGGGCTCGAACCCACAAGCCATCAGATTGTGACCTGAGACGAAGTCAGATGCTTAACCAACTAAGCCACCCAGGCAGCCCAAAATAAACTGTCTTAAAGCAAACAATTCAATGGTATTTAATACATTCACAATGTTATACAACTACCACCTAAAACCCCATTACCTGTTTATTGGGACAGAGCCATGGTCACTCATTTACATATCATCTATGGCTGTTTTCACACTGGCAGCTTAGTTGTGACACAGACTGTAAAACCAAAACATTCATTATGTGTCCTTTATAAAAACAGTCAATCCCTGATTGAAGTCACTGATTCTCAAACTTAAGCGTGTATCAGGATCATCTGAAGGGCTTTTTTTAAACATAAATTGCTGGACTCTACCCCCAGATTTTGTGACTTGATACATCTTGAATGAGGGCCTAGAATTTGAATTTCTTAGAGATTCCCAGGTGATGTTGATGCTACTGGTCCAGGGTTACCTTTTTTGTTTTAATGTTTCTTTTTGAGAGACTGAGTGTGAGCAGGAGAGGGGCAGAATGAGAGGAAGACACAGAATCTAAAGCAGGCTCCAGGCTCTGAGCTGTCAGCAGAAAGCCTGATGTAGGGCTTGAATTCACAAACCATGAGATAGTGACCTTGGCCGAAGTTGGATGTTTAACCGACTGAGCCACTCAGGCCCCCCTGCCAGGGTTACTTCTTTGAGAACTATTAGTCTAAGTGATCTCTAATGTTTTTCATATTTTGAACATTAGTTTGTTCATACTTTTGTACATAACTGTCACTTATTGATCTAGACCCTGTTCAAGGTACCAAATGAGCTTTATGCCTTACACCAGTCTTTTAGAGTGTATATAGGAGTGTGCATGTGGATGGGTGTCTGTGTATGTGAAAAGGTTATGTGTGAGTGGTGTATCTGAGTATGCATTAGTGTATCTCACATTTACTGAGCCCTCATTATATCTATGTGTTTTATAAAGATTATCCTTGAGGTTGATAGTATTATCCCAGTTTTATAGATGGAAAATCTGAGGTTTGGAGCAATGAAGGGACTTCCTTTTCCTGAAGGGTCACAGAGGTAATAAGTGGCAGATCTTTCTCCTTGCTTCTGTGGGATACCCCTACACAGAGCTCTGTAGGAGCCCAGAGCATTCTTAGCATTGCATGTACTTTCTGAGAACTCACTAGTTTTAGTCCTGATGTTATTATTGTTTCTTTGCCTTGGTCTCTAAAGGCAACAAGAGGAAACTCAAGATTTCCTTCCAAGTTATAACCCTAAGGGAGGGCTGTCAAGACAGCAGGTACCCACAATTAAAGTGCTTCACTGAATTCCCATTGAAGGTTCAGCAGGTTAATACTTCCAAGTGAACCCCACTGGGAGTGTTGGCAGGATTTTTCAGGTGAGGGTTGGTATTTTGGCTGTAGAGTTACTCATTGCCTAGTCTTTTAGGAAAGATAAAAGAGAAGTTGATAATGGATGACTGTAAATTTGGGGGATGTATAGTGACATGAAGATAAAATGAATAAACACTTGTTTGCAAACACACACCCACAATCTCCATATCATATGGACTCCATTTAGAAACCTGGAAAACAGCATTCCTTTTCATTTTCCCACTTTTCCTTGTTATCGATTTGTGGAAGCAGGACACAGGATTTCATACACTGACAAGATATTAGAGCTGAAGAACATTAGGACCCAGCCAGCTTAACCCTCTCTTTTAGCAAGTGTGGTTAGGGGCTGAAGAAAGCCAGTACTTTACCCAAGGTCACAGGGCACCTCACTAGCAGAGCTGGGAGCAGGATTCAGATCTCTTGAGTCCCAGTCCATCCCTTTCCATTACATCATGGAGGGATGAATCAGGCTTATCTCTTAAATAAGAGGCAGCTGGGTTCTGTCACCTTGGAGTCTTGTGTCACTGACCTACTTGATGATTTATCCTCTGGCCAGAGTCAAAGAGCTTTTGTTACTCATTAGTCTGCCCTGAAATCAGTGGAAATTGCTCCTAATGTCTTCTCCTGGCAAGAAAGATGGGAGGTATTCTGATTGCTAGACCTCAGAGTTACAATTAGGAGCTTCATTTCCTAGAATCACATGGAATGCAAGTCTTTTGGCTGTAGGCTGAAAATACCTTTCCCACCTTCCCTGAGACAACTTATTATAAAGGGAAGAGTCAGACAAACTTGGGCTGTTCCTAGTTTCTACACTTAATAGTCTTAACGCCTCTGGTGAGTTATTTTAACCTCATAAACCTCAGTTTTCTGATCTGTAAAGTGGGAAGAATCCCTTTTTGGTAGTTTGAGATGGAGATAATGTATATAATGGACAAGTGCTCAGTAAATGTTGGATTACCTTCCCTTCTAAACTTTTTCAGCATACTTTTTAAAGAGTTTTTTAATTGAAGTATTGTTTAAAAAATGTATAGTGAAACAACCTGTCTTAAGTGTATATTTGATCAGTTTTAAAAATGTATTCACCCATGAAACCTACACTTCTATCAAGATAAAGAATACTTCCATAACCCCAGAAAGTTCCTTGACATTTGTTCATTCTTCCTCAGAAGCAACCATTCATCTCATTTCTAGTGACAGATTAGTTTTGCCTTTCTAGATATATAAATATCACAGTATATACCCTTTTTGTCTGACTTCACTTACTCTGTTTTATTCATGTTGTGTCTATCAATAGTTCATCCCTTCAGCATACTTTTAGTTTTGAATGTCCCAGTTAGGGTTAAACCGTGCCTAGAACCACCATAAAAACATGAGGGGTAGGCAGAAGAGACTAGAGGGAAGGTAAATGGATTGGGATTCAGAACATCTGGGTGCTAGTTTTGGCTCCATCAATACATAACCTTTGGGATAATCTCTTTTGGTCTTCATTTGAAAGATGAGATATTGGCCTAGGAGGGAAACCAACTTGTCCAAGGTCACTGAGTTAGCCAGTGACAGCCAGAGATAGCTCCAGTTTACTCAATTCCTGATTCAGTGAGCATCACTGAGATTTTGAGAAATGAATTTTCTATGTAGATCAGTAACTTTCAAGGACCGAATGCTTGGATTGAATGGGCAGTCTTCCTAGGTAAAGCCAGCAAATTCCTCAGCTTTATATTTTAGTCCCTTCCAGCTAAGGATGCCTTGTTCTGCTACCACAGAAAGGTGGAAATTGGCAGCTGTGGATTCTGAAAGGGTATGATTTGGTTGCAGGTAAAGAAATGAAATCTGGACATTCTGGCCATTCAAACACTGTAGCCATGCTCAGAGACCCCTATTTCTAGGGTGTAAATTGTACTTAAGGAAGAAAAGCTCTCTGTGCAAGCATTGGGTATGTCTAGAACTAGACCTGCTGGAAAGGCAGTGCACACAGAATTGGCCAATGTGCCTTGTGCTGGTTTAATCTGTATTTTGATCTTTGTGCCATTTTTGTCTTCAAATGTCTCATCTCCCCGGAGAATCTGAAGTGACTCATTTAATTCTTATAAATCCTTCCGGAATAACTTTCATTCCTAGTCATTTCAGGTTTCGCCCACCATTTAGACAATGCCCAGGCTCTGAAAGATGCCCAAGCTCCAAAGAATGAAAACTCTTCAGAAGAAAGCTGCTGGAGAAGTAAAGAATCCCTCCCACTTCTGCTGGCTTTAAGTCCTTGCTGGAGCAGAGTAGGGAGCTCTGTCATTCTATACAGCATAAAGTGTAAGGTTTCAACCTGGACTGGTTCCAGTTCTCTCTGGATTTCTAGTCAGCAGCCCAAGGACTTAGCTTGCCAACTTTACCTGAGGAAGGGAGTGTGGGAGGCATCTCTTATTACTCATCTAGTAAAATGCCATTACAGCGCACCTTTGTACTGGCCACAGGCCAAGTCCCCAGCCAAAGACCTTGCAGGGAAGGGCCAACTCATGAGTCTGCCCTAGGCCTAGCCAAGGGGGGCATCCATCAAACCAAGCGGTCTCTCCACTCATCCCTGGCACCAAGCCTCTGTACAGAGGTCAGTATAGATTATACAGGGACAAGCATGGACCACTTTAAATTGTACCTCCATGGCTGTGGGCTCCAGAGCTGAGAGACATAAAAAACATGCCAGTCTGTAACCCTGTGGGGAATGTGTACTGGTTAATCTTTTTGTAAAACGTTTAAAAAAAAAAATAGTAATATTTACATAGTAAATTTAGTTACTATTTGTTAAACACCATAGTAAGCACTGGATGGCTATGAGAACACAGAACAGAGAACAGCAGAGACTTTAGAATAAGCTTGAAAGTCAGACCCTCCCCCACAAACTGACCTTTACTTCCTCTCCTGTAAGGCGGAGTTAATGGGATTATTATGGGGATTAAATGAGAAAATGTAACTCAGGAGAGTGCCTAGCACACAATAATAATCACAATAATAGGCAACCTTTAGTGAATGCTTCCTATGAGCCACACACTGTTTCTAACTTATTCCTTCAACAACTTTATAAGGAAGGTCTACATTTATTAGTTTTAAGGTCTATGATATGTATTTTTACAGAAAAAAAACAGATCCTGAGAGGTTAACTAATTTGCTCCAAATCACACAGCAAGTAAATGGCATTGTTGGATTTGAAAGCATTGTATCACAGGGATTGAGAGCAAACATTGGAACTAAACAGCCTGGGTTAAACGCTTCGTAAATATTATATGACATAACATTTATATTATTTGTGATGTATATAATATGTAAATACAATATTTATAAGAGTTTTAATAGTTCAAAATATGCTAGTAATTTTTATTATTTGCTATTTATATATTGTCTCTCATTTAATTCTCTAAGCATGTCTATTAAACAGGAATTATCCCCATTTACTTTGAGGAAACAGGCTGGGGTGGCAAGAGATCTCTCTTTGCCCAAATACATTCTGTGACCCATCCAGTGTTAGTTCTCTGGTAGAGCTAGAGTCCTAAAATAGTTACACTTAGCTGGTTTGGTTTCCTCCTGCTAAGGAGGTCCTTCTACCTTTCCTCTTTTCTAGAATCCCACCTACCTTCCCCACAGTTTTCCATTTCTATTTTAATACACAAATTAACACGTAGATACATTCCTGTTGTAAAAGACTTAAACATATAAGCAAATATAGTCCTTACTGATGAAGTTTTACATTGTGACCATTTATTCACTATATAATGCTGCAATGAACATAAAAGTATATACATCTTGTAAAAATATATTTAAGAGGGCTCCTAAAAAAGGAATTGCTATTGAAATATTTTAATTTTTTTAAAAAAATTTATTTTAAGTAATCTCTACACCCAAAGTGGAGCTTGAAATCATGACCCTAAGATGAAGAGTTGCATGCTCTTCCAAATGAGCCAGGCAGGTACCCTGCTATTGGAATATTTAAAGTACTTATAGATTGCACCAAACTGTCTTACAAAAGCTTTACTAATTTATTATCCCTTCAAGTGTGATTGTGTCTGTTCATCATCCCTGCCAATACTGGTCACATAAATACTTTTAATTTTTGTCAATAGAAAAAACTAGTAACGACTTTAACTTTGTTCATGTTTCAATGGGGCTGTTTCTTTTTCTCACGATTTCTAGGTTTTCTAGGTACCTTTTATTCATTGCCCATGGTATTCTATTACATATGTTACAAATAGGTAACATCTCCTTCATCATTAAAGGTTCACCTCAACTTGAAATTCTTGCTGATAGCTGCAGTCCACAGTTTGCTCTGATGACCCACAGCATGGAGCAGACATAGCCCCAAAGAGATTCATCTCTATATATATGCCCAGTCGTCCCACTGTCTGATTGGATTTTATTGTTCTTTAAACTGGTACTTCTCATATCTTCTCCTCTCTTCTCTCTTTTCCTCCCCAGTCACCAACACAAACAAAGTAGTTTTAGGGCTACCATACTTAAGATTTGTGCTTCTAATACATAGATGCTCAAGAAATATTACTGATAATGATAGAGCAGATGTCCCTTTGCATTCCAGCTTCTATGGCAAGTCACTCTTCCAACTCCCTTCCCATTCCCAAATTCCTTACAGAGCTAGGCAGAAAGTAACAGAATGGGGAATGTAGTTTCATGGAAGGAAATGAAAAGCAAGGCAACTGTTACCAACTGGAGAATATAACCACCTAAAAGAGGCATCCTTATTCAACTCCAGCAAATTACTGTCAAGTAGGAATATAAGCTCCATGTTGACAGCTTTTCAGTTTTTAAAAGCTGAAAATCTGTATTTTATGTTAAATGCACCTTTTAAATGTCAGGCCAACATTGTGTGTTTCTTGGGTTGGAAGCATGCTGAGGTCAGACTGCATCCGTCTGGTACATAAGAAGCACTCGTTTATTTTCCCATTTGTTTTCTTCCTTCCATTAGATGGAATGAAACATCAGAACAACTAATGAAAGATAAAGGCACTTATATAATGGCCAGTAATTAGTTGTTCTAATGTTGTTTTATTTATTTCTCTCTCTCTCTCAAACGAGACTAAGAAACATGAAAGAAAACATCCTATTATTCATGACATCAGATCATATTATTCATTCACACAGTAACTGGCACAGGAGAAGGTTTCAGAAAAACTTGCTGTGTTGAACCAATTACTTTATGGAGTAAATGAAGACCCAATTAGGTAACCAAATTACATTTAGACTGCAAATTTACTTTTAAAATTAAACATCCATGTAATCGGCTCAGTACCTGGCACACTGACCCAAGATGTAGGGTAGGAAAGCATCCCTTAATGCCACTCTTTGTTTTACTTGGCAAATATCAGTCAATATTTAATATTGGTGTAACATGATAGGTGAGGATGTGTGGGATTGCACCATGAAAATATGACAGGTCTTTACAGCAATCATGTCCAAACCATGGCTGTCTGGATCTCAATTTCAGTCTTGGCCAAAGACAATCCTCAAGTTTTATACCTCTCAGCCCATACTTCCACTGTTCAGCACTTCTTCTTATGATCTCTGGGTGCTAGTTTCTCCAGGGCCATCCTCTGGGGATACGTGGTTTGGGGTTTCAGTGGTGGGCACTGCTTTGGTCTTTCCTCCTCTGCAGCTCCTCTCGCCGCCTTGCCTGATGTTCACTCATGCAGTCCCTGAAGGCCTGTACCTGTGACTGACACTGGCGCCAGTCCTGGTGTTGGGCCATGCACTCCTGTACGGCATAGTGGGAAGCAGCACAGCCAGAGCGGGAAATCAGCTGGTCCAGTGGGTCCTCTTCCTCATCCTCCTTCTTCACCTGTCGGGCCCAAGTATGGCCTTGAGTTGACATCTTTGACAGTCTCTAGAATAATGGAGGCAAAGTTAGAGTAGGAATGTGATTATGAGGTTCCATTATTATAAACAGCATTGACCAAACTGCACTGTTATGGCCTATTTATGCATCTGTCTCCCCTTGGAGACTGTAGGCTTATTTGAGAATAGATCCTAGGCCTGATTCACATTGGTACCATCAGCACTAGGCCTGGCAAGAGAGATCTGTAAAATGGTTTGAACTCAAGAGAATGACATAAAGTATGTGAGAATGTTTAGCACAGCATTAAATAAGCTTGAATGGATTTTGCTAACGGAATTTGAATTAGGTGAAATGTCACCTTTTTGGAGCAGATGTCTCCCCAAAAGAATGAATCTCTCTTCTTTTCTCCTATTAGCCTTTTTCTATGGCTGGAAAAGAACATAGTTTAACACTTGGGAAAGTACCCAAATATCGGTAGGGTTTGACATACAGGAGGAATGGAGAGTTCAGTCTAGCTGCAGCATAGAGTGTGCATGGGCCAGGGCAAGAGATGAGTCTGTGAGATGAGAATGCTTAACGTGAGGAGGATTTACCCAGACTGTCTTCCCAAGATCATCCGCTTCAGAGCACCCAGCAGAAAGTTGCCTACAGAAGGAACTTGAGAAAGCTTTGAAGGGAAATAACCTCAGCCTTTGAACAAAGTTCACCATGAGAGGCTTAAAGGAACTAGCACTCCTCAGTGTCTTTCCTGTGTCTCTGATTAATTCAGCTAATGATCATTGAGTACCTATCATGTACCAGGCACTATGCTAGAGTTGAGGATACAGGAGTGACCATGACAGATATAGTTCCTGCCTTAATACAGTTTACAGTCTAGACAATAAACAGGTTACTACACAATGTGTATAGATAACTAAGATTGGGAACACACTGGAGGAACACCTAATTCAGACACGGCAGGAACAGGCTGAGTAGGCTTCCTGGAGGAGGTGTTTTCTAAACTGATATTTGAAGGATGAATAGCAGTTAGCCAGAGATGTGGACAAACAATACTCGTAGTCAATGGAAGAGCAAGGTCAGGGTTTGAGACAGAATTTGACACAAGAGAGGAACTGAAAGTTCTATATGACAAGGGCACAGCAAATGAAATCGGCACTATGAGGAAATATCTGATCATAGCCAGGTCTTATTGGCCACGTTAAGCCAACATTGCCTACCCAAAACTCATTTGCTTTAGAGGCAGTATAACCTGAGGAAGGAGGGGGGTAATGGGCTTTGAAAAGGGGCTAAGCTTGGAAACCTAGCTGCCACTGACTTACTGGGTGACCTTAAGAAAATCACTTCATAATCTCTTTTGAGAAAGAGATCACCTCTACCTCATAAGATTGTTAAAGACTACATGAGATAATGCACGTAAGAACCCTGGCATGTCCAAAGAGTTCAATAAGTAACAGTTTTTATTACTGTACAGAAAACGTGACCTGGATTCTAAGCCAAACGATCCAGGTTCGAATCCCGACACCGCGTCTTACCATACAATCTTCTTAGCTTCCTCCTTAATAATACTGAACTCATATAACTAATGTTAAGGATTAATATAATGAACAAGAAGTGCATGAGCGACAACAGGGCTCAAAGTAAATGCTAAGGTACGCTTTCCCCACATCTGGCTTCAGTCTTCCCTGAAGAAAAAAGAGGAAGACCCATGCTTGGAGATCAGGGCAAGCTACATGTTCGGCAGCGGGATGGCAGAGGCTGGCCTGGAATAGAAACTCATGGGAAAGCAGATAAATTGAAGTGTCCAAGGGATCTGCAACTTCCACTTTAAAGTCTCCCACTTTAAGAAGACGCATGCACGCGCGCGCGGCGAACGGCCGCAGCCCCGCTGTGCTGTCTACGCCTTACCGCGCAAAGACGCGGTACGCAGTGCTCACCGAACAGATGGTACACGAAAATTCGGACGCGCGTTCCTTCACGTCACCGTCCGTTCCGTAGGCAGGGTTGGAACTCTTCCGACCCTCCGACCGGAAACTGGCCGGGAGGGGCAGGGGTAGTCTGAGAGCGGAAGTGAGAGAAGAGGGACCCACCGCGCATAACCATTGGTGACCTCTCAGTATAAATCCCGCCTTCCAACTCGTAGCATCCCCTTCTGGGATCCACTTCCGGGAAGGTGCGGAAGAGGCGGGCAGGTGCGGAAGAGGCGGGCAGGTGAAAGCGGGGTTAAGATGGCGGCGCCTTTGAGGATTCAGAGCGACTGGGTCCAATCCCTCAGGTGAATCAAGGCCCAGAGCCGAGCTGGAGGAGGAGGGTAACGCATGTTGTCCTTGCGTTAAGGAGCGTTGTACCCAGTCCAGGATAGGGATTACCTCATCGATTGTTGAGAGATCACTGGGTGTAGAAAAAGAAGTCTCAAACCCACATGGTCATTGGTTTTCATTTTCAGAAGAGCTGCCCTGAGGCCAAGGCAACGCTTACGTGCTGTGTGATTACAGACCAGAATTAAGATCAATGAATGGAGAAAGACAGAACCCAGAGGCAAGAAGACTCTTAGCCAAGTAGTCCTAATCATTTAGCAAATATTTACTGGTTGTCAGTTATTTGCAAAAGATCTAGTACTCAGCCACCTCCACATTATCTTTGAGTGTATGATGGAGTCCTTGTATCCTTGGACCCCTAGTGCTGTTAGACATATTAGGCAGTTTTATTCAGGAAACAGTGTGATACCCACTATGTCCAGACCCTATGCGTGTGGAGTTTTAAACAGTAGTTCCTGCCTTCAAGAAGTTGACAGCTTAATTGGGAGTGCACAGCATACCATTCATTCAATATCTATTTATTGATGGTATACTGTGCAAGTTATTAATCTGTGCACCAGGATGTGTACAGCAGTGCCATGAATGGCAACTGTTAGTTTTTCAAATTGAAAAACTAGTTTCCAGATAGGTGGGTGACCTTGGACAAGTCACTTTTTCCTGAGTTTCAGGGTTTTTTTAAAGTTAGTTTTCTTAATAAATGTTTATTTTTTAATTAAAAAAATTTTTAATGTTTCATTTCTTTTGAGAGAGAGAGCACAAGCACAAGTGTGAGAGGGGCAGAGAGAGAGAATCCGAAGCAGGTTCTGTGCTGTCAGCGCAGAGCCCCTTGCCGGGCTTGAACCCATGAACTACCATAAGATCATGACCTCAGCCAAAATCAATAGTCAGATGCTCAACCGACTGAGCCACCCAGGTGCCCCTATAAATTTTTTTTAATGTTTTATTTATTTTTGAGACAGAGAGAGACAGAGCATGAGAGGGGGAGGGGCAGAGAGACGGAGATACAGAATCTGAAGCAGGCTCCAGGCTCTGAGGCCCCCGATGCGGGGCTCAAACCCACAAACGTGAGATCATGGCCTGAGCTGAAATTGGAGGCTTAACTGACTGAGCCACCCAGGTGCCCCTATAAATTTTTTTTAAGTGTGTTTATTTTGAGAGAGAGAGAGAAAGAGCAGGGGAGGGGCAGAGAGAGAGAAAGAGATGAGAGAGAGAGAATCCCAAGCAGGCTCTGTGCGTCAGCGTGGACTGGGATGTGAGCCTCAATTCCAGGAACCGGGAGATCATGATCTGAGTGAAAGCAAGAGTCAGATGTTTAATTTTTTTTTAATGTTTGTTTATTTTTGAGAGGCTGAGAGAGACAGTAGTGTGAGTGGCGGATGGGCAGAGAGAAAGGGAGACAGAATCCAAAGCAGGCTCCAGGCTCTGAGTACCCCGGACCCAAACCAACGAACCGCGAGATCATGACCTGAGCCGAAGTTGGATGCTCAACTGCCTGAGTCACTCAGGTCCCCCAAGAGTCACATGTTTAAATGACAGCTATCCAGGCACCCCTGAGCTTCAGGCTTTTTTTTTTTTTTTTTAATCTTTAACATAGGAATAAGAAAAGGTATTTTGTTAAATTGTGAAGATTAATTACACTGTTTGTAAAGTGCCTAGCACAAGGCTTAGTTTACAGTAATCCCAGTAAATATCTGCATGTAAAGTATTCTTGATTTTTCAAAGCTGTTCAGCTGTATGAATAGTGAACTTCCTATTGTTGAAATATTTGAGTATTCATTTATCCAGTAGATACTTCTGCATTAAATGCTTAATCCATGAATATTTCTTCAACAAATGAAGTTTGTCTTAGAATAATCTATGCCTGGATGAGATGTTAAACTGGATCATATCTCAGTACTATGTCCAGACTGAAAATTAATATCATCTTCTTTCTCCCTTGCATCAGTGACACTTTTTCAGCATTGAATGAGCCTAATTAGTCTTTTGTTTATCTTCATAGGAAGGATGAAGGGGAAGCCTGGCTGAGTTGTCACCCTCCAGGTAATATCCATATGCCCAAATCTATATGCCTTGCTTTTAGAGAAAAGGGATTTACTACCCCTAGAAGAGAGTTTCATACTTCTTTTGGCCCAGATTCCTTGCATAATATCACAGTCTTCAAATGTTCTTGACCAGTCACACCAACTCCATTTCCCGGGAAGGCCTTCAGATTAGTTTTCCATTTGGAAGCCACAGACTTGACATTCAGGCAGTGATTAAGTCCCTTAGCTATATATTATTGTATTCTAAGAAGTTCTGTAGTTACATTCGTGATTTCTTTTTTTTTTTTTTAATTTTTTTTTAATGTTTTATTTATTTTTAGGAGAGAGAGAGAGACAGCGTGAGCAGGGGAGGGTCAGAGAGAGAGGGAGTCACAGGCTGAAACAGGCTCCAGGCTCTGAGCTGGCAGTCAGCACAGAGCCTGATGCGGGGCTCGAACCCACGAACCGCGAGATCATGACCTAAGCGAAAGTCGGACGCTTAACCGACTAAGCCACCCAGGCGCCCCACATTCGTGATTTCTTGATATGATTCCTAGATGTATGTCTCCAGTCTTGAACTCTCTTCAAGTTCAAACAGAGAGTGAAGAGTTGTATGTTAGACATTTATGCTTGAAGCTCTCACTGTTCTCTTGATTTTATCAAATTTAAAACCAAGCTGAGCACTTCTGCTGTCAAACAGGCTTTCTTTTTGATTTTCAAATTTAAGTGCTGTCAGACAGGCTTTCTTTTTGATTTTCAAATTTAAGTTACCACCATTCTAGGCATTAGAATGAAAAATCTAGTCACTTCACCATGTCACATCCAGATAGCTCCCAGATCCTATCTCATACTCCTTTGAATGACCCTCGTGTTACTCCTTTGAATGATCCATTTGTTTGTAGTTATTGTGATACTATTAACAAAAATCAGACTTTTTAATAAATTTGTGTTTTGTTTTACTGATTATCTTTAAATTCAGATACCTTTGATTACATAATTATATTTCTCTGAGAAATAGAATTTTAAACAGTCTTTTGAGGAAAATGATGTTGTATAGAAAAGGAGATAGTAGATAGGTCTCATAGTCAAAGGTTTTGTTTTTAAAGATGAGAAGTAATTGGAGAGCAATTAAAATACAAGTTATGTGGAGAGGAGAGAGGACAAACTAAAAAACTAGTGTCTTAAAGGAGAGAGAAGGAGATTCAATTAAGTCTAAAAGACTATAAGATGAAAGAAGGTGAGGGTAGCTGCAGATGTAGATAAATGCATTGGTGTGGACATGGACATTTAAGAGTGTCTTTCTTCCTTTCTCTTTCTTTCTCCTTCCTTCCCTCCCTCCATTCCTCCTTCTCTTCCTTCCTTCCTTCCTTCCTTTCTGTAAGCTCTGTGCCTTAATGTGGAGCTTGACTTGAACTCATGACCTCGAGATCAAGTTTCCTATGTTCTACTGACGAAACCAATTCTATTTTATTTTTTTTAATTTCTTTTTAATGTTTTATTTATTTCTAGGAGAGAGAGAGAGAGACAGCGTGAGCAGGGGAGGGTCAGAGAGAGAGGGAGTCACAGACTCTGAAGCAGGCTCCAGGCTCTGAGCTGGCAGTCAGCCCAGAGCCCGATGCGGGGCTCGAACCCACGAACCGCGAGATCATGACCTAAGCGAAAGTCGGACGCTTAACCAACTAAGCCACCCAGGTGCCCCGAAACCAATTCTATTTTAAAAACAGAAAACCAACACTGAGATCATTTCAGTGACTACAGATGTAGAGAGGTCATTTCGATGATGTTGACAGGAGATGAGTTAAAATGATATACCCTGTGGGCCAGATATCATGTAGCAGTGGGTGAACCCAGGAGGGAATCATAGAGTTGGACAAAAAGCAGAGTTCCCTCAATGCTATTTTTGTGGCTTCTTTCTGAATTACTACTTCATGCTGTATCCCTGCCCAAAGATTCTTTGCTAGATTTTCTCTATTCCAGACTTTTATCCCAGATTGTAAGTTCCTCCATTAATATCCTTCAGCTACCTCTTTATGACTGTTTTAACCAAACTGGTATTGTTTTTGTTTTTGCTTTGATTATTTATTTATTTATTTTCCCCAAACTGGTACTTATTTTAATGTTACTGGCAAAGAAACTTATTTAAAATTTTTTTTTTATTTTAATGTTTATTTATTTTTGAGAGCGAGCGAGAGAAACAGAGTGTGAGTAGGGGAGGGGCAGAAAGAGAGGGAGACAGAATCCAAAGCAGGCTCCAGGCTCTGAGCTGTCAGCAGAGAGCCCCCATGGGGCTCAAACTCATGAAGCACAAGACCATGATTTGAGCCAAAGTCAGATGCGTAATAACATACTGAGCAACCCTGGCACTCCACCAAACTGGTATTTAAACACCTTTTTAAAAAAATTATATATAGAATGGGGGTGGGGGCAAGGAGAGAATATCGTAAGCAGGCTCCACATTCAGTGTGGAGCCTGATGTTTGGCTCGATCTCACAATTGTAAGTTCATGACCTAACCGACTAAGCCACCCAGGCATCCCTAACCAAACTGGTATATCAACTGATGCCTCCTCCCTCCCTGTTCTTTCTGATTTTCTTTTATTGACATGCTCCTCCCTGACTTGGAGTTTCCTTTCCCTTATATTCTGCCTAGCCCATTCTTTCTATCTTCTGTCTAGATGTAATCTTTCAAGATTCTACTTAAATCTTCCATCCTGTCTAGGAAGCCCTCCTACTCTGTGTGAATCCTTGATGTTTTCTACTCCTCTCTTACTCCTAGAATTTCAGTTTAGTGCAACAATTATTCACTGAATAATTTGTAGACCCTGATCATTTCTGAACTCAAGGACTTCAAAGTCTAATAGGGAAGTCAGACATATAAAGTGTACTATGGGCTGTTGCAGAAGTGTATATATAAAGTGCAAAAGAAGAATAGAACAGAATGTTTTTAACTCCATTCTTTTTTTTTTTTTTTTTTTTATTTCTAGGAGAGAGAGAGAGAGAGAGACAGCGTGAGCAGGGGAGGGTCAGAGAGAGAGGGAGTCACAGACTGAAACAGGCTCCAGGCTCTGAGCTGGCAGTCAGCACAGAGCCCGACGCGGGGCTCGAACCCACGAACCGCGAGATCATGACCTAAGGGAAAGTCGGACGCTTAACCGACTAAGCCACCCAGGCGCCCCTGTTTTTAACTCCATTCTACCTTCTGCATATGTTTATGTGTAGGATGTCTTATTTAGCCCCCATCACTGCAAAATCAGTGTTCCACTTAAGCAGATTTTCTAGTTTACTGAAGCTTAATTCTTTGCTATGTATCATATATATGTACTGTAGATAAATACATATGTGCATGTTGGTCTTCATCTTTCATTCTGAAAGAATTCCATTTCACAGTAAAACTGAATTCGAGATCACTCTAGTAGCTTTCTTACAAATGCTGTATCATATCTCTAAATATTTGTACCTATTTTTTAGCTCTTGAGTGTACTCCCTCCCAAATTAGGTTCACCTATGGTAGTGCTCTTTCCACTTCACCTCACTTTAACACTAGTACCTTCTTTTCTTTCATGAGCCAATTTCCTACCATAAGTACAGATGTCTGAAGTGGGTCTTCAAGGAGAACAATGTTAAATTCTTATTATTTTCTTGAGACATACTTCTTTTGTGCTATGTAGGGAAACCAACTTTGTATGGTAGCCTGACTTGTCAAGGAATTGGCCTCGATGGCATCCCAGAAGTTACAGCTTCAGAAGGATTTATTGTGAATGAAATAAATAAGGTAGGTTTTTAAATCTTTTAGATGATACCGAGTCCAAAACTGGGGTAGTACCTATATATCTACTTTAAATATTTATACTATTATTTGTATATTTGTGTTATCTTTACTTGTTTAGTAATCACAGTTTTTACACCTTTGAATGTCAAGAGATTTTTTCTTTTGTAGTTAAATATACTTTTAGATACTTTTAGTTATATATACTTGTTCTTATTTCCCTTATGTCAGCGCTTTCCAGTAGATAAATAACGTAAATCCCATATGTAATTTAAAATATTCTAGGAGCCACATAAAAAAGGTAAAAATAAACAGGTGAAATTAACTCTTAAAATATATTTTATTTAACCCAGTAAATCTGAAATAGTATTTCAACCTGTAATTAATATTAAAATTTTGTTAATGAGATATTACACTTTCCTTTTTTTCTTACTGAGTTTTTGAGATCTTGTATATATTTTAACACTTAACCACACATCTCAATTCAGACTCTAATTTTTTATTGAAAATTCTTCATAAATGTATTAAGGTTCTATAAAATTTACAGTGGAGAACACATTTTCACATACTTAAATATACTTAGTTCTAAATATACTTAAATAGATACTTAAATATATATTCTAAATATACTTAAATATACTTAAAAAGTATATTCTAAATATACTTAAAAAGTTTTCCAAAAACTGAGTCAAGTATTAGTTTTTATTTTTTTAAATTTTTTCATTTTTTAAATGTTTTATGTATTTCTGAGAGAGAGAGAGAGACAGAGACAGAGACAGCATGAGGAGGGGAGAGTCAGAGAGAGAGGGAGACACAGAATCTGAAGCAGGCTCCAGGCTCTGAACTAGCGGTCAGCACAGAGCCCGACTCAGGGCTTGAACCCACTAACCGTGATTTTATGACCTGAGCCAAAGTCGGATGCTTAACAGACTGAGCCATCCAGGCGCCCCATAAATTAAACTTTAAATGAAATAAAATTGCAGTTCTTCATTTGCCCTGGCCTTATTTTGAATGCTTGATAACCTCACATGGCCAGTATCTACCATATTGGACAGCACAGCCTTTATCTGTCTAGGCTTTGATGAAGACCTATGTTAATAGTACTTAATAGCTTTTCTCATTGGTCTTTGAGGTGAGTAGATGGCCAAATTAAGTACAGTAAAACTTTGGACTGCAAGTAACTTGTTCTTTGAGTATTCTGCAAGATGACCAATCATTTCTGATAAATTTTAACTTGTTAAATGAATAATGTCTTGCAATGCAAGTAGTATATGATGCCAAATATCACATGATCACAACTGAGCCAATGGTTCTTGAAATTTGCTTTAATAAATGAATGCTTTGGATTAATAGCATGTTTGTGGAATAAATTATGGTTCCAAGACAAGGTTTTACTGTATTACAGAACCCATGAACTGACTTTCCTTACTTATTCTGATGGCTGTAGTCAGTATGCTCTGGTGAGTGACCTGATTCTCAAAGGGGAAGCCAGCCTTTCTTTTTTTGTCTTTTAATGTTTAATTAAATGTTTTTTTAGTTGGCAGATAGTTCAGGTTATACCGATAAGAATAGATAATACTTTGTTTTTTACATAAGATTTTAAAAAGAATTTTTAAAAATATTTATTTATTTTGAAAGAGAGAATGTGTGTGTGAGCAGGGGAGGGGGCAGAGAGACAGGGAGAGAAAGAATCTAAGCAGTCCCTGTGCTGTCAGGGCAGAGCCTGACGCTAGACTTGGTCTCACGAACTGTGAGATCATGACCTGAGCTGAATCCAAGAGTCAGATTATAACCAGCGGAGCCACCCACATGTCCCTACGTAAGATTTTAAACATTGATTTATTACCCTCTGTGCAAGGTAATAGGCTAGAAGTTATTACATATACTCTATTTTTCATAAACAGCTATGGTATTGTAGAACCGATCTGAAGATCTGAGTTCAAGTTTTAGTTAACTCTGATACTTATTAGTAATGTGATTTTGGACGGATAACTTAGTTCTCTGAGCCTCAGTTTCCTCACATAGAAAATGGAGATGATATTGTACCTATAGGCTGGTTAATGGGGAGTGAGACTGCATATGAATGAAACTGTAAAATATTACAAGAGTGAGTTTTTATCATAACAATCCTAAGGGATTGATTTTTTAAATTTCCATTTTGCATATAAGCAAGCAGATTCAGAGAGGTTCATTAACCCTAGCAATCAAAGCTAGTTATAGTTAGACTGTACACCAGGATTGAAAACAGTTCTATAAACTTCCAAATATGAACGCCACCTTGCAAGCCTACATTTTTCCCAGATGTTTTGCCAGCCACAGCCTCAGTTCTGACTTCCTTTCTTCCCTTCATACGTAGGCCCTGATACAATCCTTATCTCTTCCAACATCATTGCTAATTTCTGCCAGTGTACCTGCTGGGTCAGACAGTAAGTGCTTATGGTTGAGCGTTCATTTGTTTCCTAATTGCTGTGAGTCACTTTGCGGTCAACTTTTGATGTTGCTACATTGTTCTATTAAACAGTAGATTATGCTTAAATACATAATCCTGGAAGATTAAAAAAAAAAAGTTTGACTTTTTTTATGCCCTGAATTTTATGTTTTGATATCCTGCAGCTTTTTGTTAAAATATTCTTATTAACAGCATGGATTCTCTACTGCTGATATTGGAAGATAGTTCAATATTTCTTTTCCTCCATAGTTTGTTTATGGATTAAAGGCTGAATTGCTTGATTGATAAGCAAGAGGAAACTACTGATTGGCAAAACTTTCATATAATTAGTCCCAAAGAAATGAAGTCTTCTGAGAGCAAACCCAGTTCTTACAGATGCCTAAACACTAAGTTCTTGGAGTTCCTTGAATCCTTGCTGGTAGGAATATTTAAACCAGAAGAGTTTAGCTGACACTTTAATTTTGGGTACAGGAGGCAATTCCAAATCCAGGTCAGCTCTCTTGCTGCCGTATGGGCTTTGTCATGCGGTTAAAAGCAAAACCTAATTTTATGAAAAGCCTGCAGGCAGCCACATATGGATATGCTGGCTAAGAAAATGCTGTTTGTATAGATAGCTATTCTGATTGTCTTTTTAAAGGAGTAGAATACTTGTAATTAAGAGCGTTTTGATTTTTAGTGATGAAAATATTGTAACTTTGAAACTCTTTTTTAAAATATTTTCTTTCTCGCCCCTTCTATTTTAATTTTTTTAATTTTTAATTTTGGAGAGAGAGAGAGCACACACCAAGTGGGGGAGAGGGACAGAGAGAGAGAGGGGGAGGGAGAGAATCTTAAGCAGGCCTCACCTCCAGCACAGAGCCTGATGTAGGGCTTGATCCCACGACCATGGGATCATGACCTGAGCTGAAATCGAGTTGTGCTTTCAACCAAATGAACGATCCAGGCACCCCTGAAACTTCTTTCTAATGAACTGTGGGGACCTGTGTTTGTTGTATATAGATTAGCCTTAGAAAGAGGTTTAGAAAATCTTGATTTTTGAAGACGTTTTCATTGTCAGCAGAATTTCCAGAAACTTTGAAGTACTGATGCAAAAGAGATAACAGGTTAGGAACTGTTTGGTGAGTGCAGCTCCTCGGCTGTCCTGTAGGAGATACACACTTAGGTGGTTGTGGTGTTATTTTGGCAGTTAGAATAAAGGGCTGTCCTATTGCAAGAACCCTCGAAGGGTTTCCCAAGCCTCTTATACCTGTATACATGCTACCTTGAAATCTTAAATGGCTACAAAGGCTGCCTTGCAAGTTATGTCACCTCAATCTAACATCTAGTTCTAGGTACAGTTTCCCGCTATGTCACCAGTGCTTTCTTGCTATAATAGCTGAAAGATATGTGATAATGACTAAGCAAAAACACATGTGGAATTAATACAGCTATGGGGCAGTCAGCAGTCAGTGAACATGTGTAGTCAGTTTAAGTCCGAGGTAGTAATGAGCACTGCAGTCCTGACCAGGCTTACACATTGTATATCATAATTTACTAATTTTCTCTGGTAACTGTAGTTGTCAGTAGTCTAACATTGTTTCTAAAAATTCTTAAAGGCAGTAAGTTTACTTTTAGTGTGGTTGTTTAGGCCCTGGACTTGGAATCTGGTGCTCTTTCCTCCTATCTGTTAACCCTGTTCCTTGCCCTATTACTAACTGAGAGTACTGGTATTAGATTTTCTCATAAAAATTAGTACTCTTATGTTTGTCATTTTTTTGTAAGTATATTTATTTATTTTGAGAGAACACGCACATGCCCAGGAACAGGGGAAGGGCAGAGAGAGGGAAAGAGAGAATCCCTAGCAGACGCCTATGCTGTCTGTGCAGAGCCCCATAGAGGTATCAATCTCACAAACCGAGATCATGACCTGAGCCAAAAAGCAAGAGTCAGAAGCTTAAGAGACTGAGCCACCCAAGCGCCCCTCCCCTTTGTGTTTGTCATTTGTATCTTACTGTTGGTTTGTCTTCTGTGGGAGTTTACGTCACTATAAAAAGATAATGGCATCTAAGCACTACAAAATTACATTGCAGAAGAGCTGCTGATCTATAGGGGAGTGATTGTGTTGTGAGCTGGGGAAGGAGGATAAGAGTGGGTACATTTAAAAGATGAAAATTCCGGAAGGGGGCAAGATGGCGGAGAAGTAGGGAGCTCCATACATTGCACTCGCCCCCATATCTCACACGGAAAAGATCTGAAGCCATAGGAAACCTTACAGATCCCAAGATATTGGGAGAGAAAGGACGCAGAATCCACTGAGAAAGCCTTCTAACGTGAGTGCGAACTGGGGAAGATAAACTCAGGCAGGGATCGGAGACTGGAGGGACTGGGCGATCCCCCTCTGTGGGGAGTGAGAGGGGAAAAATAGAGAGTCTGAAACTACTCAAGATACGGGCCCTGGGCCCTGCCTCTGGGAAACAGAAAAACCTCTGCTCGAGGCATAGAAGGACGGTGCGTGCCAAATCCTGGCGCATACTCAATCATCCTAGAGCGGCTGCGCGAGCCAACTCGTCCCAGAGTG